CTTGTCCATTCCCCGCAATATGTTCTAATGTACATATGTCGACGACGTTCAGCTTGGCTTCAAGTCATGCAACTTGGCCATGTGTGAGCGGCAGGTTCAGCTGGGTTTAAATAAGGTCTCCAAATGGGCAGATGAAAACGGATTTCGACTTAACCCGCAAAAAAGCACGTGTGTCTTGTTCTCTCAAAAGAGAGGCATGCACTCAGAAGCTGACATTCTACTGAACGGGCAACGTCTGTCCGTCAAAGCCGAGCATAAATTCTTAGGCTTAATCTTGGACAACAAGTTGACCTTCGTACCGCACATCAAGTATTTAAAAACAAAATGTTTAAAAGCCATGAATGTTTTAAAAGTGTTGTCACGTACTACGTGGGGTAGTCACAGGCAATGTCTCATGAACTTCTATAGAAGCCTCATTCGCACCCGCTTAGATTATGGGTCCGTTGTTTATCAGTCTGCAACTCAGAGTGCTTTGAAGATGCTGGACCCCGTGCACCATTTGGGAATTCGCCTTTCTACGGGTGCTTTTCGCACCAGCCCTGTAGAAAGCCTTTACGTTGAGTCAAATGAATGGTCGCTTCACCTACAGAGAACTTACATGTCCTTTGTATATTTTCTTACGGTGAAAGCAGACAAGAAGCACCCCTCGTACTCTACCATTAATGATCTGTCGAGCTTCATTCTGTTTCAAAACAGGCCTTCGATGAGGCAGCCCTTCTCAGTTCGCCTGAAGTGTCTAGCTGAAGAAACTGAAGTGTCACTTAAACACAGTTTAAAGGCTCCTGTAGCATACCCACCACCGTGGCAGTGGCAGACTATAGACTGCGATGTGTCTTTCCTAGAAGTTACAAAACATGCACCTATTGCCCATATCTGAACATACTTTCTGGAACTTCCACACAAATACACACGTCCTGAGTTCTTCGCAGATGCCTCCAAGACTAACTCCTCTGTGTCCTACGCTGCTCTCGGCCCATCCTTTTCGGATGCTGGCCCTCTACATCCAGGCACAAGTATCTTTACAGCGGAAGCTTACGCGATACTTGTGGCAGCTAAACACATCAGACAATTACAAATACAAAAAGCAGTAATTTATACAGACTCCCTCAGTGTGGTAACGGCTCTGCACAGTCTTAAAAAACAAAAAAACACGGTCCTTGTCTCACTTTACTCCATTTTGTGCACACTCTACACACTCAAACAACATGTTGTAGTGTGCTGGGTGCCAGGGCACCGTGAGATCCAAGGCAACGTGAGGGCGGATCAGCTCGCTGCATCCGTCCATGAAAGCACTGCCCCTACACACATATTAATCCCGGCCCTTGATCTTAAGCCGTCTCTCAAACGAAACCTCAGGGACTACTGGCAGAGCAAGTGGGATACACACACACAAAACAAACTACACGTTATTAAGCCACACCTTGGCCATTGGCCACCAGTATCAAAATCACGTCCAACAGAGGTAACACTAACAAGACTCAGGATAGGACACAAACACGACACACACACATCTTTTGTCTGGTGGTGATCCACCATTGTGTGATAAATGTGGTGAGGCATTAACAGTTCTTCACGTTTTAATTCAATGTAAACAGTTAGACACTCTAAGAAGACGACACTTTCCATTACCCTACCGACAACATATACCTTTACACCCTGCAATGTTCGTTGGTAGGGAACCGCTTTTTAGTAATAAATCATTGTTAGCGTTTTTAAAAGAAATTCATAATTTTCATATCATATACCCGGGCATTCCATAGCACAACCTCTCCAGAGAGGTTTTTGCTGCGGTGGCTACACAAGGAAAGCACTTGCCTCACGGCCCTTGGACGCAAGGGTATGAACGAGTGAGGTACTTGTGCTAATGCCATACATATCCACCATCGTCTTTTATTATCACCAACTTTGTTCATCTATTCGCACCACACACACCTTTCACGACATGGTCATGATTTTATTACTTGCATGTTTTTACCCGCCTTACCGCGAGGAACTTTATAGCCCTTATACAGCCGCTAATCACAATCATCGTCCACATTCCTTATCCCATGAACTGGCGCTCTTTCGCCATCAAATGGCCCTTGCGCCAAAAAACACCATATATCATCATCATCATCATCATCATCATCCTTCCTTCCTTCCTTCCTTCTTTCCTTCCTTCCTTTCTTCCTTCCTTCCTTCCTTCTTTCCTTCCTTCCTTCCTTCCTTCCTTCCTTTCTTGTAAACAATGGTGAAAAAGATGGTGTGAAAAACAGAACTTATCTCGCTTGGCTTAGCACGTTGCAACTTTTATTTGTCTATAGACTTCAGAGCTTTGCAGAAATTGAAGTAAGTGTTAACTACAGCAACATTCACCGTTACACTTTAGTAGCTGTGACGGCTCTTCTATGCCTCATGCAGGCAGAGTTGCCAGGTGTTGCCAAGCTAACAAGCAAATAATCATCACAAAGAAAGCCTCAAGCGAAAATTTTATTCATTTTCCCACTATTGGAAGTATTTTTATTAGCCTAAAAATGTCGGCTAATTGTCAAGAGGTTTTGAAAATTCACTGTTTTGTAGAGCCAAAACAAACGCAGCTATGAACGAAAGTACATATTTAGATGTAAACATGGTCTCTAGCATAGCCTGTATTCAGTTGAACGCACACTTTTTTCCGCATAAATAACATTACGTGCTGGTTCCCCAGAGCATCCTTGATTTTGACACTCAACGGCACACGATCATCGAAAAACGCCCTGATAGGGATGGTGACAATCATTATGACACCTATTTTTTCTGAAGAAGGTAAATAATTTGAAAAAACCTGATAGGTGACTCGAAAATTCTTCAAGCGCCTCGACGAAAAATAAAACATAATCACATCCACTTGTTTTAAGTGGAACTAGCAAATTATGATGCATTTCTAAAGCCCTACGTGAAGGTTCCAAACCAAACCAGCGACTAGCGGCTCAACCCACTCTTCAGTGTCTTGAAGCCAGATTTTTTCCTTTTTAAGTGTGATCGTGAAGTACAGATGCATCGCTAAACTGAAGCTTTTTTTTCGTGAGGGATGCCATCACTATCCATTAAACATTTCCACCAAGATAAAAGCAATTTTTAAACTAGCGTACCGTTTTTAAGATAAAATTTGTATGGATATCAAGCCGAGATGAAGACGTCAAGTCATTTTCGAAAATTACCCGTTAGCTGACTTTTTACCACACCCTCTTCTTCAACATTCCTAATTTCAAGTTGGATCCCATGCAAGAAACTTGAGCTTTACATCTTAAGGCGGCCATAATGAAAGGGAAACGCCACCTACATATCGAAGCCTTATCCGCATTGCGAATAATGAAGAGCTTTGTATACAACTTACACACGTGTTGTCACGTATTTCCATAATAGAGTGGGCAGTGTACGAGGGTTAATGATACCTTGGAGCTTCGCCCACTCGCCATCATTCACTTCGCTGATATGATGTGTTTTTTTTGTTTATATCAGCGTGCTTGTGACATGCAATCTTCAGTTTTGCGCGTAGATGGCGTCCTTCAGTCCTTTTTAATGCTGTAGCCTTTTTTGGAGACAATGTCGGCCACTACTACCGTTGGCCATTGTATTTTTTCTTCGCACATTCTTACACCCTATTCAGAGCTTTAGTAGAAGCAGGTACAATATATTGCTCTCAAGACAACAGAACTGAAAGTACTCGTAATGGTAGAACAAATACATAAAATAGTAATGAAAAGAAGTAGTTTAAATTTAGTGAAATTGCCTTTAATTGCATAATTTCATATGAAAAACTGAACATCTTTCAGTGGCAACGACCAAGTGATACCTCGGAGAGCTTTATCAAGCCATGTAGCTCATGGAAAGAAATTCTAATTACACGTGTCAGTACGAGCAAAGAAGTGTGCCACGTACATTGCGTGAGGGCTACTGGCAGAACTTGCACTAGTCAATGAAATGACGCTACCATAAAAAAGGCCAGACGTGGACGGAAAATATAATATTATATCAATTTTTTAAAATTTTATATGATATTACGAGACTTTGATGGACTGTTCTGGTATCGTACAGCTAGTGTACGTGATAATCAGCGGCTGCAGCTATGAAAAATGAAACGGACAGATTTTTCACTAAGGTTATCATGTGAGATCGTTTTACGCCCTGCCCAGAGATTTCGTGCAAGGTGCGTTGCAAATTACGTCATTTTTAGAGCGTTCTCGTTGAGCTATTGCAGCTATCAGCCAGTTTGACGGATAATATAAAAATGTCCAGGTATATTGTGAACATGATATCATCTAGCAACTTATTATTGCGCTATATGATGAAAAGAAGGTCATGCCGATTTCTTCTGAATCCAATAGCTTCCAAATTGTAATTTAGGTTGCACTTGAATATCAAAGAATAAATGCTGAAAGGCACTTTAATGTATTCACCTATTACAAATAAAAGAAAAAAACGTGTTTTACATTAGGTGATGCTTTACACATACAACTACACGTGATTTTTATCTTGCCCTGTGATGGGAGGGCTTGTCCTGTTTTATGCCCTCATATTATGTATTGTCATTGAAATTGACTTGGCATTGCCGGCCATAAGGAGAATATATGTTCCTGTTTACGCGACAGGTTTCACACTATAGTTCCTGCCCTCAAAACTCATGTGGTACAATTGAGATATATCGTTGGAGCCTGTGTGCTCGTTCTACAATAGACGGAATATCTGTTTCAGCTGGCGCGCCATGTAGACCATTTACCTCAGCGCGTATGAGTCACAGAAAAGAGTAAAGATTGACCTAGCAGCTGCATAGCAGCTGTCACTGGGTTTTGCTTTTCATGTAGTGCAACATTGCTAACGTGGAAAGTATAGTCCGCTGTGGAATATTGCCTTACTGGCGTTTTTTGTTAAGGTTATAGCACCGGTGTGCTGATAATATATTTATTGGGCTCCTACTCAGAGTTTTATATGTAGTTACATAAAATTCCACGCCATTAGTACCATGCTAGTTCATGCGTTTGCCCACTCAGACGCACCGAAATGAACCGGGTACTGCAAATTTTTCCTTATCATGTCGCTGTCTGTAGATCGGGGCGGGCTACTATGAGTCCTTCCACTGCAAGAAAGCATTGTGCTTCATCAAACAACAAGAAACCTTTCCGACAAATACCCCGTATTCCAGCGCTGCCACTTATCGGAAGTTCATGGATATATTGCCGTTTTTTACGTAAGTTTCGCAACTTTGGCGAAGTGTGCTTGCTTTTGGAAACATTTTATTTTGCTTATCAAAACATTGTAAATATTGAGCAGTAACTGAAGTGTTGATAATAACGCTGTCTAATTTGTTACACTGAACACTCATATAAATATCTGATACTTCATTACCTTAAAACATTACGCGACTTCCTCGGAAAAGAAAAAGGAAATCGGCAAATATACAGTCATCCCCCTCCGGATGTTACTGGAGAATAGGTGCGATATTGGCGTCAAGTATAGACGAATACGCATACTCACAAAGGAACCACGTTGTAAATCCCACAAAATACGAACGCAGCTGCCCGTGGAGTGGCTAATGGCCAACTCTCATCCACATTACGCGAGAATGCGAATCACCACCACATAGATTCAACTCTGCCCTTTTAGGGACAACCACTCTGGAGTGAGGATCCCACCCGCTTGCCCAGAAACCTTTAAGCGAATAAAATCAGTTTTTCATTGTCATCATTGCCGCAATTGTTTTCTAGAGGATAAGGCACTTGGCTACTGACCCGCCGGGCGCGGAATTGAATCCCAGGCGCCACGGCTGTTTTTTTGAGGGGAGCACAGAGGGTTGACACCCGTGTGCTTACATTCAGGTTCACGTTAAGGAACTAGAAGTAGTCGAAATTTTCGGAGCCCTCCACTGCGGCATATCTCAAAACAATATAGTGGTTTTTGAACGTTCAACTCCAACAACAATTATTATTATTATTATTATTATTATTATTATTATTATTATTATTATTATTATTATTATTATTATTATTATCATGAACTAAGGACGTGAGCTGAGAATGTCCCCCTTTACGTGTTCTAGTGAAGTGATCATTGCTCTAACGTGAGAACAAGGTTTGCATGACTTGGTAACATAACTTAGGTAAAATGTCGAAGCAATTTAGAGTGTGAAAGGAAGCATTGGATAGTTTTGCTTGTTCGTGTGAAAAACAGAGAACTTATGTCACTGGACTATGCACGTTGCAACTTTTCCTTGTCGATAGAATTCAGACCGCTGCAGAAATTTAGGAAAGCGTTAGCTACAGCAACATTCACCGTTGCGCTATGATAGTTGTGACGCCTCTTGTATGTCTCATGCAGGCAGAGTTCCCAGGCGTTTCTGAGCTAACAAGCAAATAATCATCATAAATAAGCATCAAGCAAAAATTTCAGTCATTTTTATGACTGAAATTATTTTTATTAGCCTAAAAATGTCGGCTAGATATGAAAAGAATATCCAAAATTACTCTTTTGTATAGCCAAAACAAACGAAGCTATAAACGAAAGTACATATTCACTTCTAAACATTGTTTCCAACGTAGCCTCCCATCACTTAGTTGCATGCGCAGTTTTTCCGCCCCATTAACGTTGCGTGTTGGTTCCCCCAGCGTATCTTTGACTTCTACACTCAACTGCACACGATAATAAAAAACGTGCTTATGGTGATGGTGATGATCCCTATAACATATATTTTTTTCTGGAAAAGGTAAATAATAAAAAAGCGTGACGAGTAACTTGAAACTTCTTCAAGTGCCTAGGTGAAAAGTAGACAAGATCAGATCCTCTCTTTATAAAAGAACTAGCAAATAAGCATGCATTTCTAACGCACTACGTGAAGGTTCCAAGCCCGTGAGTACCAGCCCAATCCAAACTTCAGTGTCTTCAAGGCAGATTTTTCTTCTTCGTAAGTATGATCATGAAGTACAGACACATCGCTGAGTTGAAGCCTTTTTTTTTCGTGAGGTATGCAGTCACCATGCATTGAAACATTTCCATCAAGATAAAATTATATTTTGAACTAAAGCCATTTTAGAATGAAATTTGTATGGATATCAACCCGGGATCAAGACCTCAAGTCCTTTTTGTAAATTAACCGTTAGCTGACTTTCTCCCAGACCCTCCTCCCGACCATTCATAATTTCACCACTGCCATGTCCCCTGCCATTGTATATTCCATGAATGTGGCTGGAATGCTGAGGATAGTTTGACATGTCTGCTCCATGTACATATTTCGATTCCATGCCATTTGGACGAACATGCGGAGACGTTTCTGTTGTAAGACAAGCCCTAAGGGCACAGAGGTACATACTACTGCCCACACACACACAAAAGCTTTCAATCAATGTTTAAACTGTAAACTTTTTGCAGGAAACGGTCATCCTGATGAAAGGCACAAAGTCTCCATGGAAATGTACAGAAAGTATGGCCCCATTTTTGTAGAGAGGCTGCAGGGAAGGCTTTCAGTGGTGCACATTGTCAAAGGCACAGACATACGAATACTGCACAAGGAAGAAGGCAAGGAACCGTTCAGATTGGGAGCGGCGCCCTTAAAGCAGTATCGCGAATCCAGGCCCCAGTACTACGCAAACGTCGGCCTTTTGAATCTGTAAGTCACTGCTAGGCGCATTTTTACGGTGCTCACTTGGGGCGCATACCTCAGCTCGTGTTAACATTTCTATGCATCTCAGTGAGTAGATCAAGTGCTTACCTACCTCTTTATCACTGAGACCGCATGTTAGTAAACCTTGATGTTTAACAAAAGTCGTGCTCTCAATAAATGCTTTGCGGTTATTTTTTGCTTAGAGCGGAAAATAGGGGAACAATTTTTCTGCGTTGTGACACAGTAATTGTTCTATTCCATAAGGTACAAGCATTTTTGAGACGTTTATGAATGATTTTACTTAGTGAGAACCTGAGGCCTGCTTAGAAGGAAAGAATATGAAATATTGAAAGAACCTTGATGGGGGCATGAAGAGAACGGGGTCGAAGCAGAACTGGCTTAAGGGCAGCTTGGTCTCCTGTTGCTGGGTCTGAGCTGTACTTCTCGAAATCATTCCATTGTGTAAATAAACGCGTTCCATCATCACAGTTGTGGTGGGAGGTGCTAGGAAAGCCAGCTACTGTCAAGCGAGAACGGAGGACAACCGTCTACTAACAACGGAACCGCAAGAGCACGAGCTTTACCGCAGTCGTTGACTAGCGGCCTTACCACCACTACTTCAAGAGATGAACTTAGACGGCGACACCCGGGAGCCAGCCATGGGTGCGTGCGCCGTTTTTCCACTACCAACAGCCACGTGCATTCACAGCGATGTCTGAGGATGACGTTGAAGAATGAATCAACTACTATCAATGGGTGAGCCAAGCCAATGGCTGGAATTTCGCTAGCCAGTTGTCCACCGTGGGCCTATTTCTCGATTTCGGTGCTTTGGTATCGTGGATGATGTGATCTTGTTGTTCCTTCTCATGTGTGCATTACCTTTGCATTTATGTGTTTTTGCTGTGTAATTCTTCAGGCTTTTATGTTGTGCATTTTATTACTTTTCTACGTATTCTGTACATTTTATTCTTATTGTGCAATGGTTACGTGCAGAAAGAAACCCGATTCATCTTCATTTCAAGATGAGGATGATGTGGTGTCGTCGTCTTAGTTCCGGTTTCGGAACTGATTGGCCGGCCCCTCGAGGGCGTTGTACTACTGTACCATGCTTGTGTACATAAAGATAGTTTCCGCCCGGGCTTGGTGGCACCACTTTGTCCTCTTCTCCAGCCAGCGCTGCGGGCTTCGGGCCTTGCTTTTCCCGTGCGTCACGTCCGACGCACAATACAATAAATATGGTTCCACAATCACGAGCTCTTGGCAGCATTGGACTGATTCACGGAGAAAATTAAGAAGTTCTTTGGCGACCCTTCAACGAACAAGAAACGCACAGAGCAAATGCTGTCGCAGAGAGCTCATACTTGTGTTGAGACTTGCATAACGTAAATTAAAGAGGTGCTCAAAATGTAAAAGCGTGTGAATTCCAACAGGACCGAAGAAGACAAGGTGGGCCACATTCTTAAAGGAATTGCAGAAAATGTCTGCCACTTGCTTATCGGCAACAAAATTCTTGATTTTGTGGCCGATGTGATCGGATTACTGCCGAACGTACAGGCACTGAAGGGTGACTGCACCACATCAAATTGCGGACGCCCGGCCAAGATCACGATGGTCACCACTAAGGATGTGTGCCAAGACTCTTTGCCTGCCGCCCTTTCTTGAACAATTCACCTCATTGTACGTGAGAAATTTTGTCGCCACGTACCTGTACCCGTGAACGCCCGAGAACCACTGTGCGACACACCGTCGACAAGCGTTATTGCTGCAAGTTTCGACAAGCGCTGTTATTCTAGTTACAGTCCTCAGCTAAGGGCTCCACCACTAGCGTCTTCTTATGTAGAGCGGCTTTACGCTCCCTGAAGCCATAACGGCTACAACAGCCATTCACCTCCTTTTGTGTCTCAGTGGGAACATAGTGCCATGTACCCTCAACATGCAGTGAAGTTCTCTATGCCTCGTGAACTGAAGACTTTCGCACGTTGGCAGGGTGTACAGTGACGTACCCAATTGCATACATCTGCGTTCATCCGGGGCCATACATAGTGTGATGACACGAGGTGTTGCTAGGCACGAACGCCGGGGTGAGAGAGCTGGTGCAGCGTGTAGAAGTCTTGTAAAGTCACAGCAGCGGTAAAGTCTTGTATTTTGAATAACGGGTACCGATCCGGAATCGTCTTACTGTTTAGAGATTGGTTGTCTCCGCATCGTCTTCCGTCACCTGATTTTTCGGGCACCATGTGGAGTGGAGCTGCCCAGTTGCTTTCGAATGGGTGAATAATTCTTAATTGCAGCATATTGTTACATGGTTTCGGCTGGCCAACGTCTCCTACGTGACATGAAGGCTTATCGGTGAAGCTTCTTTCTCGTTTCGTGGGCCGTTTCGTAGGCTTAGACTAGTGACCAACACTACATACGATATTGTTCCTGATGATCCATCGACCTCTCCTGCTCTGCTGAATCTTGACGGTGTCCATGTATCAAGGCCCAAGCGCTATCACACAGTTCCTGCTGGGGCTGCGTAGGCTCACCGGGACGACGCTTTTGCCGCCGAGGCTTGTGTTGCATGTTTTCGGCTCATAGTAACATGGCATAGTGGGACATACCATAAAAGGTTGCGTCAGACTGAAAGTGAAGAGTTCGACGTTGTTGGTGATCTGTGTTGTGGCTGCGGAGTGTCTACTTTTATTTCCACGTAACACTGTGTTCAAATTCTGCACGTGCAAGTTTGAGCTTGTTTCGAGCAAGTCGACGTGGTCGGGAGAAGGCAGGACGTCCAGAGGTTACGGTGTGGTGACGTCCGTCATGGCACACTAATTTTTTCTAATTCGGCGGTGCGGTGATATCCGGATATTCTTGTTGTAAAGCCACCAAGGGATCATTAAAAGCGTAGCACAAGTGAGAACACAATCTACAGTTTCCAGCGCAGCAATGCCTTTCACAGAGCGGTAAGCCGTCGCTTCGAGTAGACATTGTCATTTGACGTCAACAATGAGGCAGTGGTCGGTAAGGAAACCAGTGTCGATAATGGCAGAATGAGCGTCGGTAATTATGAGCAGCTAGCGAAATGGTCTTCGTAGTCCCAGGCTGAATGTAAGCGAGTATTGTCGAAAAAGCGGACTGCGTGTTCCGTTCACAGCTTGCTAGATCACGCTGCATTGAAGTTGCGGCGTGATCCATACGTGTAGCAGGTAAAAGGCTGACGTGTGTGCCGATGTCGATTAGAAATCGTTGCCCAGTGACCTTGTTGACATAGAAGAGGCGAGATGTGGTGGGCCTGTGACCACTCGTCGCCGCTAGAGGATGGCCGTACGGTTTTCCGACCAAGCGCAAGGGAAGAGACAGCGACGTGCGCGGGCACCAAAAATGCGGTGATACCAGTAGATATTAGACTGGTGGGCTTGACCATTGTGCTGGTGCTCGATGGATGGACAGCGCGGAAAAAAATGGGGAACGGCGCAATCGATTTGAAGAAGGAGAAACGCTCCTACGTGTGCTGCCAACGAGAAATTTCTTTAGTCTATCGCAGAACTCAGCGACAGGTAATGATGCTGATGTTGGCTCGGGCAGCGTCATCAGTGAAGGGTTGGCAGCTTGCGATGTTGAAGTCGGAAGCGCAGCTACAACCATAGGAAGTGAATTGGCAACTTCCATAACCTTGTCGGCCAACGTAGCGAGCTTTGACAAATTCTGGGTTGAGGCACTGACCAGTACCATTTGGACTGAAGGAATAGCGCTGAAGGAATAGCTCACGGAGGAATCTACCATCCGTGGCGGAATAATGTGGTCCGAGAAGATTAAGCTATCGAAGCAGTAGCTGGCTTGGCTGTTGATTGGCGAGTTCTTCGACACAGAGTAGCTGTTGCAACCGCATGCTTTCCGAGGGAGCCGTGTGGTCCAGTATAGCGGCCTTGATAGGGTCGTAAGGCGACTCCTGTAGGGAGTGCCCGAATGAAGGCAGAAGGTCGGAAACCTCGTCAATGACGGTTGCTGGAAGGACGTCGAGCACAAAAAAGTACCCGCGAGTCTGGGGCGTCATCCGCGAGAGTTCAAAGTGGGCCGCTGCTTTGATGAACCACGCCGAGAGATTCCGTTCCCAGAACTGTGGCAGTCGAATAGTGTTACAAATAACCATAGCGGTTGAATCAGTCTCGTCGTCGGCCGAGTTGGCTGAGGCTTGCGGATGTTCGTTGCCAGTGGCAGACATGGCTCCACGTTTTTTTTTTGATAGGGCACAAGTTTCTAGCTCATGCACATGTCCGTAGTCACCAGTTCCACACAAGAAAAAAGCCACTCGAGACGTCCTTGTATCGCCAGAGTGAAAAACACACTTACTTCTTTAAATTCTGCGCCCCTCACGCCAGCCTTGCTGCGAACCACACGATTCCTCTTCTTCCTTTGGGGCACAATTTCGATGATGTTGGTGGCGCTACAGAGCGCCGGAAACCCTCAACATCCAGAAACGTTTTCTGTGCCTCGTGGGCCCGTCAGCTATCGGTGTTGCGTTCGTGGACATTTCGCCAGATTTTGCCCCATGCGATGTCATCCACGTTTCACATTTTCTCAGCGATCCCCGACGTTTGCACGTTAAAGCCAACGACCTAACTACACCTACTGGCCGCCCAACCCAACTGACGAGCGGCACGTATGTCAGCCGAACAACCGGAGTGTTTCGCCGGGTCTGCGCGCAGCTTAACGCCACCCAGCAAACGTACGTATTGGTCGCCATCCCGATGGCGCCAGTCACAGCTTTCGTCTTCGCCACCGGGAAACTAGCCAGTGCGGCCGACAGAAGTGAGGTCATTGGACGTACCGATTTTCATCAAAGTATGCCTCCACCTCTTTTTATGCTTCAGAATAAGGTTCATGTACTTGTCGATGACGTTCCTACGATGGCATTGATAGACACTGGTGCAAGTGTTTCTGTAATGTGTTTAGTTGTTTTGCAATGACTTAGCCTCAAGGTTACGTTTTATTAGGACAAACCTTCCACTTTTCAGGCAGTGAGC